TCATTCAGAAAGGTTTTGTGGATGGAATTATAAATAAGAAGGAGAAGGCTTTTCTGTGCCCTGTGGCTCCAAAACTTCCCATATTGTATATTCTCCCAAAAGTACATAAAGACCCGGTACATCCTCCAGGTCGACCGATAATCAGTGGGATAGGATCATTACTTTCCAGGATTGGGGAGTATATTGATTTCCACCTGCAACCATTGGTTACTGAAACTCCCTCATACCTTAGAGACACCAAGCAGGTCCTTAATGAAATTGACGCAATACGTATATCACCGGATATGTTTCTGGTTACAGCTGATGTCAGTTCTTTATATACCAGCATCAATCACATAGATGGCATGGCAAGCTACCGACTTCTATCTAACCAATTGCAGTCGTTTACCAGGAATGCAGAGGCGCTTCATTCTGGACCTGTTACATTTCTCTATGTGTCATAATTATTTTTGGGTATAACCAATCATATTATCTTCAGATCAAGGGTGTTGCGATGGGGGCGAAGTTTGCCCCTAGCCTAGCCAACCTCTTCATGTCCAGATGGGAGGAGGATGTCATTTATGCCAGAGATTGGCCGGAGCTTGTATTATATAAGCGATACATTGATGACATCCTCCTCCTCTGGAATGGAGAGGAAAGTGCCCTTAATAACTTCTTTACAACGTTGAATAATAACACCCTAAACATTCATCTGACATATACTTATAGCCAACACCAGATTGATTTTTTGGACCTTACGCTGAAGAAAAATAATGGGAGGATAGTTACTGAGTCCTTCTTTAAGGGATCCGACCGTAACAGCTATATCCCTGTAAGTAGCTGTCACCATCCAAATTGGCTGAGAAACATCCCGAGCCAATTCACTCGGATAAGACGTAACTGCACAGATCTTGAGACCTACTGGTCCCAAGCAAATATCCTTAAAAATAGATTTCTTGAAAAAGGATATAAAGAACCCGAACTTGATGAGTCCTTGACTAAGGTTGCTGACCTGGATAGGAGAGGGATGCTTTCACATAAACCACATAAGAAAAATGAAAAGGTGTGTCCCTTTGTAACAACTTTTTCAATACAATATAAACAGGTGGGAAAACTTATAAAGAAGAATTGGGATATTTTGAGAATGGACCCAGTCCTTTCACAAATATTACCCAACAAGCCTGAAATTATGTTTAGGAGAGCTCCGGCTATGAGAAACCGCATTGCACCAAATGTTGTAAACCCCCCTTTGAAAATCTCTTTTTTTGGGGATTTAAAGGGATTCTATCCATGCAACAAATGCATCATATGCAGATGTGACAAATCCCGTAAGAAGAAAATAGATATGTTTACTTCAACATCAACAGGGAAGTCCTATACCATCAAGCAGTGTATAACATGTAACAGCAAGTACGTTGTCTACCTCCTCAGTTGTCCCTGCAATAAGCAGTATGTGGGGCGGACAACTAGACGCCTAAGGGACCGTCTGCGGGAACATGTAGCCAACATTAGAAAAGGTTATAGGGACCATTCGCTATCTAATCACTTCAGACGGTTCCATAATAGTGACCCTACTTCTTTAAGGTTTGTGGGTATAGAAATGGTATCACCACATTGGAGGGGACTTCACAAGACCAGAACAGTCTCGCAGGCCGAGACCCGTTGGGTCTACGAATTGCGTACTCTTTACCCTCATGGACACAATGTGGAGGTAGACATAAACTGTTTCATTGCCAATAGCTAGGACATGAAGACTTGGTAACGTGGTATAGCGCTGAGTTTTTATTGCATTTTATTATTTTATTTTAGTTCGTTCTATATGTGGATTTTTTATGATTGTTCAATAGCCCCATTCAAGGTTTTGAGTTATGGCCCTGAACTATATGGAAAGTCGGAATTGGTGAGATTAGGTTAACATTGAACCACTCAACCTTTGCGCATTATTTGATTATTATCAATTAAGCCCCTTCAGAATGTGATCGCAATACTGAATGATTTTGGGGCGTTTAGAAGTTTTATAAGTACATAATAATTTTAGAGTTTAGCTTATCACCATTTCCATCTTTATATGATGACATATAAGCCCCTATGCCATGGAGTTAGTGATTTCTGAGAGGGCGTTTGTGGCACTTATTTTGTGCACTTATTTTGTGCACTCCCCTATATATATGTATATCCCACTTGAATTAATGACTCCAGGTTGGGCCTTTCTAATGTTTCCCTTAAGGGTGGGAAGGCATCCGTATCCATCTTCAGGATAAAAGAGCACCTGAGTATGGGGTTGCTTGCTTGTTTCTTTTAATTTGTCAATTCTCAGCAGCAGCTATTCCTTGCTGCCTATGATCCATGGCAATATGGCGGCGATCGGGTGGCGCATGCGCATTTGATACTGCACAGCCGCGATCCACGGCAATATGGCCGCTATTCGCGCATGCGCAGTACCGCTTTTCACGATAGAGCGGGTTTTTTCGCGCATGCGCGAACGGCTTTTAAATGGAAGTCTGGCTGTCACACTGCTAGTGGCGTCCATCCTCTGAAGAAGTGCTTTTTGCACGAAAGGCCTCAGGAGGAGCCAAGTAGCAAGTGTGACTTCCAGACCACTGAGACCAAGAGGAGGTCTAGTGGTCTTTGTTTTTATGCCATTGCCGGGTTAGTACTATTTTCTTTTCATACCTACCTGTCCGTTATTGGCTTATGGTGTATGGATATGTGTGTGCATATGACCCAGGCATTATTGCTCCAATAAAGTTTTGATAGTACCACACTATTGGCGTTCCCCTTTTTCTTTGACTCTCCTGTTGGAGGGTGCAGATATACTTCTTCCATTCTTGGGGTGTCTGGAACCAAAAAAGGGGGATCTCTGTCTTTCTACCTTTGGATCTGGAGATATTGCTACACCCAAGGCGGATGAGAGTGTGGAAGAGGGAGGATTCGTGTGGTGTCTGGAGCTGTATACCTGGCTGGTCTTTTGGAATATATCATACTGCCCCATGTATTGTCATCCCCCCCCCCCTATATACACCATATTGCCCCAAGTATTATCCCCCCCCCCCCCCCCGTATATATACCAAACTGCCCCCAAGTATTTCCCCCCCCCCCCCCCTGTATATACACCATACTGCCCCAAGTATTGTCCCCCCCCCCCCCCGTATATACACCATACTGCCCCAAGTATTGTCCCCGCCCCCCGTATATACACCATAGTGCCCCAAGTATTGACTCCGCCCCCCGTATATACACCATACTGCCCCAAATATTGTCCCCGCCCCCCGTATATACACCATACTGCCCCAAGTATTGTCCCCCCCAGTATATACACCCTACTGCCCCAAGTATTGTCCCCGCCCCCCCGTATATACACCATACTGCCCCAAGTATTATCCCCGCCCCCCGTATATACACCATACTGCCCCAAGTATTGTCCCCGCCCCCCCCCCCCCCCCGTATATACACCATACTGCCCTAAGTATTGTCCCCGCCCCCCGTATATACAGCATACTGCTCCAAGTATTGTCCCCGCCCCCCGTATATACACCATATTGTCCCCGCCCCCGTATATACACCATACTGCCCCAAGTATTGTCCCCGCCCCCCCATATATACACCATACTGCCCCAAGTATTGTCCCCGCCCCCCCATATATACACCATACTGCCCCAAGTATTGTCCCCGCCCCCCATATATACACCATACTGCCCCAAGTATTGTCCCCGCCCCCCATATATATACACTATGTTGCCCCAAGTATTGTCCCTACCGCCCCATATATACACCATAGTGCCCCAAGTATTGGGCCACCAGCCTTTCCACGCACATGACCTTTAATGGCCCCCCCAGTCTTAGTCCGTAGGGTTCAATATTGCGTTGGCCCCGCCCTTTCCACGCACATGACCTTTAATGGCCTCTTCCCAGTCTTCGTCCGTAGGGTTCAATATTGAGTTGGCCCCACCCTTTCCACACACATGACCTTTAATGGCCTCCCAGTCTTCGTCCGTAGGGTTCAATATTGAGTTGGGCCCCGCCCTTTGCAGCTATAACAGCTTCAACTCTTCTGGGAAGGCCGTCCACAAGGTTTAGGAGGGTGTCTATGGGAAGGTTGGACCATTCTTCCAGAAGCACATTTGTCAGGTCAGGCACTGATGTCGGGGGAGGAGGCCTGGCTCGCAGTCTCCGCTCTAATTCATCCCAAAGGTGTTCTATGGGGTTGAGGTCAGGACTCTGTGCAGGACAGTCAAGTTCCTCCACCCCAAACTGGCTCCTCCATGTCTTTATGGACCTTACTTTGTGCACTGGTGGGCAGTCATGTTGGAACGGGAAGGGGCCATCCCCAAACTCTTCCCACAAAGTTGGGAGCATGAAATTGTCCAAAATTTCACCTTAAGAGTTCCCTTCACTGGAACTAGGGGGCCAACCCAACCCCTGAAAAACAACCCCACACCATAATCCCCCCTCCACCAAACTTTACACTTGGCACAATGCAGTCAGGCAAGTACCGTTCTCCTGGCAACTGCCAATCCCAGACACGTCCATCGGTTTTCCAGACAGAGAAGTGTGATTGGTCCCTCCAGAGAACACGCCTCCATAGAGTCCAGTGGCAGCGTGCTTTACACCACTACATCCGACGCTTTGCATTGCACTTGGTGATGGAAGGCTTGGATGCAGCTGCTCAGCCATGGAAACCCATTCCATGAAGCTCTCTACGCACTGTTGTTGGGCTCATCTGAAGGCCACACCAAGTTTGGAGGTCTTTAGCTATTGACTCTGCAGACAGTTGGCGACTTCTGCGCACTGTGCGCTTCAGCATGCGCTGACCCCGCCCTGTCATGTGACGTGGTCTACCACTTGGTGGCTGAGTGGCTGTTGTTCCCAGTTGCTTCCACTTTGTTATAATCCCACTAACAGTTGAGCGTGGAATATTTAGTAGCCAGGAAATGTCCCGGATGGACTTATTGCCCAGGTGGCCACCTATCACGGAACCACGCTTGGAGTCACTGAGCTCCTGAGAGCGACCCATTCTTTCACCAATGTTTGTAGAAGCAGTCTGCATGCCTAGGGGATGGATTGTATACACCTGTGTCCATGGAGGGGATTGGAACACCTGAATCACATGATATGGAGGGGATTGGAGCACCTGAATCACATGATTGGCAGGGGATTGGAACACCTGAATCACATGATATGGAGGGGATTGGAGCACCTGAATCACATGATATGGAGGGGATTGGAACACCTGAATCACATGATTGGGAGGGGATTGGAACACCTGAATCACATGATTGGGAGGGGATTGGAACACCTGAATCACATGATATGGAGGGGATTGGAACACCTGAATCACATGATTGGGAGGGGATTGGAACACCTGAATCACACGATTGGGAGGGGATTGGAACACCTGAATCACATGACTGGGAGGGGATTGGAACACCTGAATCACATGATATGGAGGGGATTGGAACACCTGAATCACATGATTGGGAGGGGATTGGAACACCTGAATCACATGACTGGGAGGGGATTGGAACACCTGAATCACATGATATGGAGGGGATTGGAGCACCTGAATCACATGATATGGAGAGGATTGAAACACCTGAATCACATGATATGGAGGGGATTGAAACACCTGAATCACATGATTGGGACGGCGGGGATAATACTTTTGGCAATATAATGTATTTGTTTGTTTTTTGTTTTTGCTCTTTTTTCACCAAAATGTTTTGATGAACTTCCTTCCTGGCGGAATCCATCTCTATCTATTTACTTCATACAGAATATTTCATGTACAATATATATAAAGTAGATTCAAACTCCAACGTAAAAAGGTGAATTCTGGGCACAAAAAAATGTTATTTATAAATGAATATTCTTCAATAGTTACAAAGAATAGAAATCCCGTTTTGGCAGGATCAGATGCCTTCAACCAGATAGCCCAGATATTACCCTGTAAAAGTAGCAGTGATATCATTCTAACCTGTGCAGAGAGCAGAGCTGTGGGAGGGGCTGAGTATGCTCCACCCACTACATAAAACTACAGGAGGGGTGGAGGCAAAACCAGTCCCCCTACGCAAGGAGAGCGAGCAGCACTGTGGGAAGGACCTATCAGGCTCCGCCCACTACAGAAAACTACAGGAGGGAGCGTAGGCAAGACCAGTCACCCTGCACAAGCAGAGAGCAGAGAGTGGGAGGGACCCAGCAGGCTCCACCCACAACAAGAGGGGGCAGAGACAAGACTAGTTCCCCTGCACAAGGAGAGAGCAGAGCTGTGGGAGGGGCTGAGAATGCTCCACCCACTGCAGAAAACTACAGGAGGGGGCGGAGACAAGACCAGTCACCCTGCACAAGGAGAGGGCAGAGCTGTGGGAGGGGCTCAGCAGGCTCCACCCACTACTGAAAACTACAGCAGGGGCGGAAACAAGACCAGTCCCCCTGCACAAGGAGAGAGCAGAGCTGTGGGAGGGGCTGAGAATGCTCCACCCACTACAAAAAAACTACAAGAGGGGCGGAGACAAGACCAGTCACCCTGCACAAGGAGAGAGAGCTGAGCTGTGGGAGGGGCAGAAAATGTTCCACCCACTACAGAAAACTACAGGAGGGGGCGGAGACAAGACCAGTCCCCCTGCACAAGGAGAGGGGGCAGCAGTGAGCGGTCTTCATTCCAGGAGGTCTCACATTGGATGACGGCACAGATCTGGAAGACACACACCGAGATTCTGGAAGACGTCACATGACCGATGGGCTGATCTCTTCGCACGCCAGGATTTCATTTGATTTTGCTTGCTCTGTGTATTGTGTATCATTGACAATTGCCAGATCCTGCTGATCCCTCTGCGGCCTCTTTGCTGTCACTTCCTGTCTATTTGCACGCCAGTGATCCATTTTCTCAGGTCAGACAACATTCTCAATTGGAAGCCCATGTGACAGGGGTGACAACACAGAACCGCGATAGGGACACAGGAATGGAGCGTTGTCACCCCGATCACGTGACCACTTGTCAGAACCTCTTAAAGGGCCGGTAGGAGCTTGCTGCGGACTGACGATGGTTCCATGAGATTCCAGAGATCCGCTTCTCATACATTGTTGCCATATCTGGAACCGTCCTTTCTTTGATAGATTCAGTCGTCGTCCTTCGAGAGATCAGTGACACCTTCGGTAGGTAAACTGCGGTGACACCGGACAACACGGGGTCTGCGCCACGGAAGGGAGGAGACGGCGATGTAAATGGCGCCGTGATATGGCAATGAGGGCTCATCTATAGCGCATTGCCAGAGCCGCAGATAAGGGGGTGCCACCAGTCCTCCTGTTACGGGGCCCAGGACAGCAGGGGGGCCCCAGGCAGCTGGGTGAATCGGATGTGGTCAGGGAGGGTGATCGGTGTGGCAGGGGGACAATTACTGGAACCGATCCCCTGTATGCAGGGGCGGACTGACAACTCATGGGGCCCCCAGGCAATAGGGGATCATGGGGCCGCTGTGTCCTCGCCCAAACTCAAACCACACCCAAAAAAGCCTATGAAAGGTACCAGGGTCATCTCATGGGGCCCCCTACTGACTCCAGGTCCTCGGGCAGTGCCCGAGTTCCCAAATGGTCAGTCCGCCCCTGCGTGTATGGCTCTCTCTGCAGCAGCTGAAAGCTGGCTTCTTCACCTCTCCCTCCCGCTGGATTTCAGCTGCTGCAGGGAGAGTCATACAGGGGATCAGTTCCAGTAATTGCCCCCCAGTGCACCCATAACCATCCCTGTGCACTATACGTTCCCCTGTTGCTCGCCACCCCCCTGCAGCGCTGCCAGCTTCCCTCCTCTCTCCCTCCCACTGGCTTTCAGCTGCTGCTGGGAGAGCCATACAGGGGATTGGTTCCAGTAATTGCCCCCGCTGCACCCATCACCCTCCCTGTGCACTATGCATTCCCCTGTTGCCCCCCACCCCCCGCAGCGCTTCCAGCTTCCCTCCTCTCCCTCCCACTAGCTTTCAGCTGCTGTAGGGAGAGCCATACAGGGGATCGGTTCCAGTGATTTCTCCCCGCTGCTGCACCCATCACCCTCCCTGTGCATTATACGTTCCCCATGTTGCCCCCCACCCCCCGCAGCGGGGGTTTCCCTCCTCTCCCTCCCACTGGCATTCAGCTGCTGCAGGGAGAGCCATACAGGGGATCGGTTCCAGTAATTGCTCCCGCTGCTGCACCATCACCCTCCCTGTGCACTATACGTTCCCCCTGTTGCCCCCCCGCAGCGCTGCCGGCTTCCCTCCTCTCCCTCCCACTGGCATTCAGCTGCTGCAGGGAGAGCCATACAGGGGATCGGTTCCAGTAATTGCTCCCGCTGCACCCCTCACCCTCCCTGTGCACACTGCAGCGCACATTGATGTGAGCTGAAGTCACAGGACATCTGGCAAGTTTCCCTCGCTGCGGCGTCGAGAGTGCATAACGCTACCCGGCGAGACCGCGTCTTACATTTTGGTGCTTTGTGCGCAACCGCGCCATTTTTTTTTTTTTTTTCCTTTTTTTTTTTTAATCTGTATTTTTTATTTATTTTTTCTTTTCTATCTTTTTTATTTATTTTTTTTATATCTTTCTTTTTTTTTTTTTTTTTGCTTTTCCTGGTGCGTCTGTTTAATAAGCCCTGCGCTTTGATCCATGAATATTCATCTTACAACCGCGCAGTCCTTGGAAGTACCGGGGGCTACCCGCCTGAGATTTGTCACATCTTTTCCCCGCGCTATTCCCCCGGGTCCGCGGCTAGTTTTCATCGCATCCAGCGCCAACCCATCTGCGGCCCGCGTAATTAACATGACTAAAAAGATTTGGTGGGATTAAGTCGGTTTTGTGCGCGATATTACACGTTCGTTTAAATTTATCTCTGAAGCGCCATGCTACCCCGACAGCCTGGGCGTGATTCGCCAGGAACCTTTCATTGTCAGACCCTGCGCCTGTTTTGTAGTGTGGCGGGTAGGGAGGGAAGGCGAAGGGGGGGGGGGTGGTGATGGTGGTGGTGGGGGGGGGGGGGTGCGCGCGTCCTGGGAGGCGGCGTGTCAGAATTTATAATACAACTCGGCGTCCCCGTGTAGGAGGCTGCGGGGACCTCGCTGGATCCGTTACAGCAGGTTTATTACAATACGTCTCAATCAAACTGTTTTGTTTGGAAGGCCACCAGAAATTTTTTTTTTTTTTTTTTTACGCAACGAAAAAAAAAAAAAAAAAAAAATTTGCCAACGTCTTGTCAACATCGTGTGTGTGAAAAAAGGGGCTCATTTAACCGTTTGTGCTCCAAGACGAAAAAATAAATAAATAAATACATTTTAAAATCGATTTATCCATTTTTTGGGGGGGGGGGGGGGGGCAAGGAGAGAAATAAATATATAAATCTGCATTTTTTTTTTTTTTTTTTTTTTTTCTGGCAAGGAGGGAAATAAATAAATAAATCTGCAATTTTTTAATTATTTTTTTTCTTTTTTTTCTTTTTTTTTTTTTTTCCATTTTTTTTTGGGGGGGGGGCAAGGAGAGAAATAAATATATAAATCTGCAATCTTTTTTTTTTTTTTTTTTTTTGTATTTTTTTTCCTGGCAAGGAGGGAAATAAATAAATAAATCTGCTATTTTTTTTTTTTTTTTTTTTTATTTTTTTTTTTTTTTCCTGGCAAGGAGGGAAATAAATAAATAAATCTGCATTTTTTTTTTCTTCTTTTTTTTTTTCTTTTTTTTTTTCCCATTTTTTTTGGGGGGGGGGGGGGGCAAGGAGAGAAATAAATAAATCTGCAATTTTTTTTTTTTTTTCCTGGCAAGGAGGGAAATAAATAAATCTGCAATTTTATTATTATTTTTTTTTCTAGCAAGGAGGGAAAAAAAATAAATAAATAAATTTTTTTTTTTTTTTTCTTTTTTCTTTCTTTTTTTTTTTTTTTTTTTCCTTCCTCCGTTCTGAGATTGTCTCTGCAAATATTCCGCGGCAAATGAACAATGGTCGGGTTTAAGCTGGGAGTCTCGCTTGGAAAAGCTCTCCCCGGCTTCTTTTTAGCCTACAGCATAAATTTGATCTGCTAATTAGTATTCAAGTCAGCCGCTCGGATAGAACGCCGCGTTTCAGCCAGGAGGTGGTTTAAGATTCACATAAATCATAGATCAATGACAGAATTCTAAGCAATGGATAGATTACAAAAGTAAGCTTTAGTTAAAGATGGATTAACCGCTTCCCTTCCGGAATACGCCAAACGCCGCCGCATTTTTTTTTTTTTTTTTATCTGTTGTTATCGAACACAAAATATTTATAGAATATTTTCCATGCGATGAATCCGCAGATTAAAAATGCAATTTTTTTTTTTTTTTTTTATCTGTTGTTATCGAACACAAAATATTTATAGAATGTTTTTTATGCGATGAATCCGCAGATTAAAAATGCAATATTTTTTTAAATATATATATATATATATATATATATTATATATATATATATATAATTGTTATCGAACGCAAATATTTATAGTTAATATAGAATTTTTCATGCGATGAATCCGCAGATTAAAAATGCAATTTTTTTATTTATTTTTTATCTGTTGTTAT